GTTTACTTTCAAAAATGATACCAGAATAAAAAGGATTACAAGAGACTATTATGAAAAATTATATGCCAGTAAATTTGGTAACTTAGAAGAAATGGATAAATTCTTAGAAACATATAACCTACCAAGACTGAATCATTAAGATATGGAAAATCTGGGCAGAGCATGGTGTCATGCCTGTAATTCCAACACTTTGGGAGGCCAAGGCAGGCAGGTCACAAGGTCAGGAGTTTAAGACCAGACTGGTCAAAATGGTGAACCCCTGTCTCTACTAAAAAACACAAAAATAAGCTGGGCATGGTGGCTCATGCCTTTAATCCCAGCTACTTGGGAGGCTAAGGTAGGAGAATTGCTTGAACTGGGACCCTGGAGGCAGAGGTTGCAGTGAGCCGAGATCACATCACTGCACTCCTGCCTGGGCTACAGAGCAAGACTCCATCTTGGGGGAAAAAAAAAAAAAAGAAATGGAAAATCTCAACAGATCTAGAACTAGCAAAAAAATTAAATCAGTAATCAAAAACCTCCCAACAAAGAAAGTCCAGGACCAGATGGCTTCACTGGAAAATCCAACTAAACATTTAAAGAATTAATGCCAATCCTTCTTAACCTCTTCAGAAATTTTGAAGGGGTGAGAATATTTCCAAACTCATTTTATGAGGCCAGCATTACCCTGATACTACAGTCAAAGATACTACAAGAAAAAGACACTACAGAGCAGTATGAGCAATATCCCTAATGAATATTAAGGCAAAAATCCTCAAGAAAAGCTACCAAACTGAATTCAGCAGCACATTAAAAGGATCACTCATCATGAGCAAGTGAGATTTATGCTTGCAATGCAAGAATGGTTTGACATACAGAAACTAATTAATGTAACACTTTACACCACATTGACAGAACAAAGGACAAATATCACATGGTCATTTCAATTAATGCAGGAAAAGCGTTTGAAAATACTCAACATCATTACTCAGCCTTAAAAAAGAAGAAAATCTTGACATATGATACAACATGGATGAACCTTGAGGATATTATTCTAAGTGAAATAAGCCAATTGCAAAAACAAATAAGGCATGACTCAGTGTATATGTGGTATCTAAAGTAATCAAACTCATACAAATGGAAAGTAGACTGGTGGTATCAAGGACTGAGGTCAAGAAGAGGGCAGATGCGAAGTTGTGTGCTGAATGAGCATAGAGTTTCAGTCACGCAATATTAAAAAGTTCCAGAAATCTGTTGTACATCAATGTGCATCAGCTAATACTGTATTATACACTTTATAATTTTTATGAGAGTAATCTTATGAGGTTTTTAAACAATTAACAAAGGCTCTAAAACAACCATGTTGGGAAACACTATGCTATACAATATTGTACACTGCCACATAAGTTCTCTAGAACTAGAAGCTAAATGAATAAATCATAACAGCATCTTTCTAATTTCCTATATAAAAGAGTGGGTTTAATGTAATTCAAGTGTCTTGAATCTGTCTGAGACAGAGTTAGATGAAAAAATAAAAAATAATGTAAAAATTTCAGAGATTGTTAAAAATGTATAAACTTATCCATATTTTAACATTTTATTAGATATCTGCACTTGAGAATTCTTCTTGGGATTCAGATAAAAGCTTTCCTTCTATCTACAGATATAAACTGAATCCATCATGGAGAAAATCACCAGCATTCTAAAATGTCCTTGGTATTTGCCAACAGGACAATAATTGAACCATTTTCCCAACTGTGTTCACTGCTGGGAACTTTAATAACACATCTAAAACAACTCCGTATCTAGCAGAATCTTACTTAACCGATTTAAGATCGAAATTCACTTAAAAATTCTATGCTCAAGATTTATGTTTAGTTGGACATGATCAAAATGATACGCTTCCTGTCATGACTATAAGACATAGTTGTACTATATATCTACAATAATTAGGTATTCAAGTACCCTGTTTTACCTAAAGGAAAAAAAGCATTAAACATACACACACACAAAAGCAATTTGCATCTATTTTCATATGCTTAGAAGTAAACTAATAATACATATAATTGCAATGATCAGACACAAAGCAGTTTACAAAAAAGTCTGAATCTTACTTTCCATTTTTATTAGCTTATAAATAGACTTTGTAAACATATCAAATTATTTCAGATCCTGAACCCCAAAACCCAGGCTAATTTGCAAAGCATCTTACTAACCCCACAAAACCCAACCATGATTGAACCCCAAGGGTTTTTATATAGAATAATGTCTACAATAATAGGGGGAATGAGCTTCGGTGGTACTAGAAAAGAATAAGAATAAAGCAAGAAACGTGAATTCAAAGTCAACTATAGAGTCAGCTACTAACAAGAACCTGTAAGCAGTCATCAAATTTAGGTACCAACTTTCGGTACCTCTCTATCTCATTCCAGTTAACTATGCCATCACAGGGTATAACCCAATTACAACAAATTTTGGCTTAAGAGGTGTTTCCTATAAAAGTGTTTGGCATTACTCATTTTTTTTTTTAACCTTAAATGTATTATTTAAGAACAAAAAACAACCTCAAAAACTGATATGGTCAAATGTTTAAAGTACTAAAACATAAAAGTGACCAAACCAGTTGAGGTTCTAACATCTTAATTCCACTGGGGTAAGGCCTTCACTACCCTCCAGTAGTCTCAAGGAATCTTTCAAGGCTTTGTCTTCTTTCCTGTACTCTGCATTCATTTACTCTGTTCTAGTCTATAAAAGTCCACTCATCTATGCTTCTAGGCTTCCCTCTGCCAAGTATTTCTAGGCTGACATCAAGGTTTGAATTATCACCTTAGCTTTCTAATCTGGCACTGATCTTCTGTTCAGCCTTTCAGATCTTTCTTGGCTTCATACTACTGGTCATTCCTACCTATTTCTATGTCTACCTGAACTTCTGGAGCCTCTGCCTGAATCCTATATCCCAGTTTTCTGTCTAGGGAAAAAAAAAAGTTCAAACAAATAAAATTTTTATGCATTACTCTGTGAAAGTGTTGAAGCAAACTGCACTTCAGGTTTTGATTGACAATTTAATATTCCTTTGTGTGAACAGTGGTTAGGGCAGGGCCACCTGCACTGCACAATTCCAGGAAGTACCATTCACATGATATTTCATAAAATGTGTTTCAAGGGGCTGTTGTTTATATAGAATATAACATAAATGATGCCCTTAATTTTTTGCCATGTTACGCTTCCAAGTAAAACCACCCTTAATTGAAGTCATTATGAAGTTTCCAAAGTTTTAGTTTTTTAATTTCAAAACTAATACTACATAATTCCTAGTAAGTACTATAAAGTGAAATAAGATCAGAGAATCTTCCTCCTTATTATCTATCTAAAAACACAAAAAAATAGTTTTGAAATATAGTAAAAGAAAATTCATGAGCAAAAACTTTAGGAAAGGGCACAACTTAAGCCAGATTGTTGTAGGAAAGAAAAAACAGATTTTTAGTAAAGCTAGGTATAAGTACTAATCTTGTCCCTAATGGTGAAAGACAAAATCCTTAGAATTCTTAATAATACTCCACTATCGAAGAACAGAAATTGAAGCTGGAGGGAAATAGTGAAGAACTACATAGTGAACCATCCTTTCTCTCTCTTTCTCTCTGCTCTATGCTAAAATGGAAGATTAAAACAAATTCAGACGGTATTCTCCCAATGTGAAAGGAAAAGAAAAGAAGACCTATAAACTGCTTTCTTTAAAAAAAAATTGCTTGCAGTCAAAATCCAACCACAGAAAAAAAGTTAAGTAAAGGACTAAGGAATAAAACCCGTAAAATTGTGGTGGTGAGCTCTGAATCTATTTAAATGCAGAAGCAAAGCTTTTGAAGAAGGAGTTATAGTCACAGAACAGAATATAAATACCATAGACTCTGATAATGTAAAAAGAATAAATGAACACAAATCAGAAGGGCAAGAGGAGCTGAGATGGAAATGAACATATGAAGTTAATTTTCTCATCTTTCACAGGTAGGAATAAGTCAATACTATCTAAAATAGAAACACAAAGTGTTAAAAAATAATTATTTTTATTTCTTAATGTCTTCCATAACCATTTTAAACACCTGAGATAACATTCCTAAAGAGCCATCTACTGATGAAAAACACTTATCAAAGTTCCATAATCCCTCTAGTCTCACACCAGTTTCTTTTTCTTCTACTAAACCAAGATTAGACATCTTACTATAAAGTAGTACACACGATATGACATGTCCATTAATCCATTCATTCTCCTATCTCTATGTATCCACATGGGTACAAAGATAATAAGTGTGGTGGTCATCTAAAGTTAATTTCTGAGTGAAGGGATTAAGTGACTTCTTAAACTTTTCCTTCATACTTTGCTGCAATGTTTGGATTACTTAAAATACATGTGTACCATTTTTATATTTTAAAAAAGACACACTGAATGAGAAGATCTACTGAAGATTTTACACACGCTCAGTATAACCCTTCAACCTTTCAGAAAGAAATCTGCTGATCACCATCACCTAGTGTCTCTATAACATTTTTTCAGGCTAGTGGTAAGAAAACTGCAGCACCAGAAATCCTATAGTTCTAATATCTACCAACTCCTAAAACAGTGATCAAAGCATTATTCAAAGAGGTATTTTCTTAACCATGACGTGGTCTTTGTGATCTATGAGTACTCGCCAAAACCCAGAGTTCATTATTACTACCACAGAATAGTTTCACTTACACAATTGTATATTTGGGTTTCAATGCAATAATACGTAAAGGCATTAAAATGTCATTTAATGGATGTCTATCTTCTATTCTACCTTTAATAAGGAATTATTCCTAAATCCCTCAAAATGAAAGAAAAACACCCAAAAAAGGGAAAAGATAACTAACTCATCTAAGTGAACATGCATCTGTAAATCAAAACTTAATAAATTTTATGTATAAACGATCTACTATATTAAAATAAGACACATAGCTTTTGCAATTATACAGACAGTAGAAAACAAAAATATAAAGACACATACCAACAGAGGTGCCTTCATTATCTTAATAAACAGGTGAATGTTCAGTGTAGTCAATGGCTGTTCCATTAGTGTTCTTCTACATTGCTGGGTCAAGTCCAAGACTAGTTTACAATGAAAAAAGTAGAGACGTGCATATTCCACATCCTCAGAGCTGCAAATTAAAAATTAATTAACTTAATGAAGTTCAGTGTGTGATCCCTTTAGCATGCAAAAAAATGTAATGATAAATTTTGTGTTAAGTCTCATGCTTTTGATTATTATTTTAGTAAAAGCCTGAAAGAGTATAGCATTAAAATTAAATGAACTTGGGCAAAAAAGAAGATATAGGATATTAAAGTGAATTAACCTTGAGTTGTATAAACAATTTTTATACAAACAATTTTTATATAAGGTTAATATTAAAGTAAATTAACCTTAATATTAGTTGTATAAACAATAAACCACATGAGTTGTATAAACAATTTTTTTCCTGAACTTTTTAATATGGTAGTTTCTAAATTATAATAGGTTACAGGCAGGCTTATAACCTTTTTTCCATAAAAGGCTGTCACCTTACGGACAATGAGATTATCTCTAAATATAGTTGCTTTTCTAGAGCTATGCTAAATGAAGCTTTGTAACACAAATTTTCTATATTTAATTTAAACCCAAAGCTGTTTTGAATAAACTTCAGCCAAAACATTCTAAAATAGAAACCATGTGGCAGTTTGTGGGAGTTTGTGAGTTTGTATCTGAAATATTACAAAACTCAGCAAATATGGCTTAGGATTTGAGCTTTGGCATTCCCTTCAGTAACAGAATTCAAAGATAAACTTATAGTGGAGATAAGGTTTGCCAAAATTAAAATAGCATTTTAGAAATATCCATATGGCATTAGTAGGGTTTGGCAAAATACTACAAAATTTTATTTTTAAAATGCTATTTTAATTCTTGAGACATATTTAAAGTGAGCTTACAAGGTTCACTGACTTCAAATTTAATTACAAAGTAATTTCTAATCAATTCAATGATTAAAGAAATAGTCACTCAAAGCTTTACTTAATCCCTACTATGTGTTAGGCCCTATGCAAAACACAACAGACAAAGATAAATAAAACAATTACATCCTTGAAGGGGATATATTTAGCAAAACAATTAAAATGGATTTGGTAAGTGCTATAATATGTAAAAATACTATGAGGAACAAGGAAATATTTTCTTTCTGCTTCAAATTAGGAAGGAGAAGGAAGGAGGAGAAAAGGCAGATTGTCTCAGAGCTTAAAAAACAAAAAAGGAGAGAATGACCTCTCCAATCAGACAGGACAAATAAGCATTTCAAACAAAAGTTAAGATGCAATGAAAGTATATAACTTATTGAGGGGATTCCTGAACAGTCACATACTGCTGAAAGTAAAGTGGTGAGTGCATAAGGTCCTAATAAGTAAGGCTGGACTTCACATTGCAGCCTTGAAACAAAAGAATAATGTTGGAAAATCATTTTATCAGGGATCATATTTGCTTGCAGATAACAGAAAACAAAACTACTGAAACTTATTTGAAGTTTACAAGAAAATCTCATAGAGTATAAGGAAAATTCAAATAATTGGATCAAAGAAAAGTCAGAAGATAAATGTAGAGACCTGAACAGCAAGAGTTCAGGAAACTTCAGTTTGCCATTAACACTTTTCAGTTACCAATTGAGTCTCGGAAGACACCTTTCTGTTTTACTTGTAAGTGGGCAAAACATTCCTGTGAGCAAGACAGCTACCATGTTGTATAATCCAGTTTTTCCAAGTCCAATCTAAGTTCCTGGGAGAGAGGATCTCTCATCTCTCTCATTTGCTCAAGTAAACCAATGGACTGGCTGGCCCTAGGTCAAGTGCCCACCTCTGATTTACTTGATTGCGATATGGATGGGGCATAGATAATACCCTTCTTTGCCCATAGATTCTTTAGGAAGGCAATATACAGAGGTAGCAGAAAGTACTGGAGTCTATGGCATGCTATCTCTTTTACTACCTATCACAGGCACCTTTCTTAACTAACATGTAACTTCAAACACACTCAGATCAAATATTATACAGTAATTAATATACTAGCCTTAACTGATGTTATAATGCCAGAAACTAGAATAGCATCTATATCACACAGAAGGCATTCAATAAATATTTGCTGAATGAAAGAACTAACAAGTGAAATTCACTTTACTCCTATTAGGAAACAACTCAAATAGCCAATTACTTTATCCAAAAGTAACATCACAGCACCACTGTATTCAGAATCCATAATCTTTCCCTGTCACCTCAGGTCCAGGGATGACTCATCGACATCTTGTTATCCATGAAGAAATGATAATCAAAACTTCCCCAATACATCATATACTCATGAAAATGAAAAACAGGTTAAGAAGCAAATGAAAAACAGGATAAGAAGATAACTGTGCATTTTTAAACTCCCATTTAAAAAACAGGAAAACAAAAAAAATCTTACAGAACAATACCATGCTTTAGTCTCAAAATAAATATACATATTCTCTCTGTGTGTGTGTGTGTGTGTGTGTGTATAGACTATATATACACATATACTATATATATGTATATGTATAACTTACTGAACAGGATGTGTAAGGTAAATAATAGGACCTATACCTTACCAATAAATAACTACCTCTTTATGTTTTAAGCATATCAGCATTCACCATTCACCATTATTTCCAATTATTCATTAGCTAAAAAATATAGAAGCTGGTAACACAAGAGAATACAAACAACTAAGCCTCAGAGAAACTGTGGGGCTAGCATGCAATCACTGTGGTATGGAGAATAACAAGGCTTCCCCCAATTCCAGAATGGGAAATCAGCAGTATGGAAAAACAGTGAGCATGCATCCATTTTATTTAACTCATTAATGAGAGAACCAGCAGAATGAGACAGGTAAATATGGAGAGACTAATGGAAAGAGGAATGCTGGTTACTGTCATACAGATCAATAACAACATAACTTCTCTTTGTAGAAACTTTTTTCTCTGCCTACTCCCATTCCCTCAAAAGTTATTACACCTTATCAGTTTGTTATACACTAGCCTCTAAACGTAGAGCTATAAAACATCTTGGCTTTAAACATTTGTGTGTGGTATATCATATAGCTGCTATTTCCTGAGAGGTCAGCAGGAGGGCTCATTAAAAACTCTTGGATGGCATTAAAAGGTCATACAATCCCCATTTTGCCCTGTTTTGGATCAATTTTCCTGAAGAACATTTTGAAGTCAAAAAAAGAAAGAAAACTTTAACCCTAGGGAGCCAGCCAAAAAGAAAGCAAAGTAGGCTTCTACCTAAAATTGTAAACTAGGCAAGAAAAATAAACATTCAAACATTCTGTTCAAAAACTGTACTTAAATACATTTAAGATTACTATGACACATAATTTATAAAAGACTCACAAGAAATTTCTGAAGCTTCATTATGAAAGCTGTTATTTTTACTCCCTATTTGATCACTGCAGGAGATACATTCCTAAGATATCCCACTTGGCAACATGTATCTTGTGGCTTATCCATACTGCCTTCATTACCTTAGTCTAACATCACTTCTGTATTTTTTAAGACTATAATACAGCAGACGACAGTAATAAAGAGGATTTCAGGCTTCATTTATATATTCACATCTGCTATGATTCCTTCATATAAGCCCATGCTGTGGGAATATAATGGAAATGCTAAGTAATATGAAAAACGTGAACAAAGAAAAAAAACTTTAAATTGTTGACATGTGCTTTTTATACATACCCAATACTTTCCAAAAGGGCAATTTCTGTGGTTAAGACAAATTGGTATGTAGTCCCATACACAAAAGCGGCTTCCATGACTGCCCTGTGCTCTGAAGAAGAGATGAAAGGTGTTGGGAGACAGAAAGAGTTAGTTTGTGTGACTCTATGTAAACCTCTATTCTGAATATTATCCTACACTCTTTTATGTTCTACTATATTTAAAGAAGAGTCCTTTGCAGATAAACTAGTAGGGAAAATGCAGGCAGTTAAAAGAAGTTATAAAAAGGTCTATTCTATTAAAGGTAAAAGAAGAATTCAGAGGGAATAGAAAATGAGCTTTTACTTGAGAATATAATATACAACAAATTTGTGGTAGTTTCTTTCTAGTAGTAGGGAAGAGAATATGAATCCATCATACAACTTTCATGTCAGGTTTTATTTGTGTATGTGTCTGTGTATATTAGTTGTGGGTTAGTTTTTTTAAATCAAACTTATACTGAAAGAAAATAATTTTACAAGGCATATTAAGAAAAACAGCCATTCCCCTACCCTCTATTGCATTTCTAGTTCCCAAGGAACAAGCACTTTCAACTCTATTTCTTCTTATTTCTTTTATTTCAATTCTTGTTTCTTTATATATATATATATATATATATATATATATACACACACACACACATATATACATACTTTATATATATACGTATATATACATGTATATATATGTATATACATGTATATATACATGTATTTATATATACATGTGTATATATGTATATATACTTCATATATACGTATATATACATATATACATATAGATGTATATGTTTATATATGTGTATATATTCATATATATATACTTATATGCGTATATGTTTATATGTTTATATATACTTGTATACGTTTATATATACTTATATATGTATAAGTATATATATAAATACACATATACATACATAAGTATATACATACATGTATATAATGTATGTATATACACACATATACATATATATGTATACATATATAAGTATATACATATATATAATGTGATATATATGTATATATAAGTATATATATTTCTATTCTGAATAGATTATATATTCTATATATATACACTTATATAAGTATATACATATATATAATGTGATATATATGTATATATAAGTATATATATTTCTATTCTGAATAGATTATATATTCTATATATATACACTTATATAAGTATATACATATATACTTTTATATATCTGTGTGTGTGTGTATATATATATATGACATTAGTATTATCTGTTGCCTTCCTACTGTGGAAGATGATAAACCACCTCTCTTTTCTGAAACTCAGCTCCACAAATGTAAACATGTCCCATCCCAACTCTCTCAATACAGTTCTAACTTTTATTGGATCAATACCTAGTATTTATTTTGTTGACTCAGTAAACACTGTTTACAGATAAGTCACTTTCCCTTTTTGAGCAACTTCTTCACTATAGTTATAATTATCTTTTAAAAAACTTTGTTCAAGTTTTTTCCTAATTTCTTCCTAAACTCTTTCACAATTGTCTAACTCTCTCAATACTTCAAATATATTAAGTATACTATCAAATCCATCTTATTATAAACATTTCTGCAGAGCCTTCTGATTTGCTCCAATATGGACTCTTGCTATTTGGCCTGCTGCACAACTGCCATTCTGAGGATTCTCTTATACCCTCTCTTGTGTTGGGTCCTTTTGCCTGTTATCCAATATTGCCTTCTTTATTGCTCCCTTGTGCCCATTATCTAATGCCTTCCTGTGAGAGGACATATGGAATAGACAACTTTTGCAGCCCTGAACATCTGAAAGTGTCTTAATTTTATTTTCACAACTAACTATAGTTGGCTGGGCACAGAATTCTAGGTTCAAGTCATTTCCCCTGAGAATTCTGAATACACTGCTCCATTTCCTTACATTTTTAGTGCAGTAATTTAAGAAGTTCAATGACATTCTGATTCTTGATCCTTGAACTGCAAACTCTTCTTTCACCTCCGGAAGATCTTAGGATAGTCTTTTTAACTAATACTCTAAAATTTCAAAATGGGATGTCTTAGTGTGTCTCTGTGGTCATCCACCATGCTGGGACTCGATGGGTCCTTTCCATCTGGAAGCTCAAATCCTTTAGTTCCAGGAAATTTTCTGGAAGTATTTTTGATGATTCCTTCTTTTCATATTTTATTTCCCCCTTTCTCCTCACTGTCATTTCCAGACAATAATCTCCCCATTTCCCACATATTTCCCTAGCACTTGAATTTCATATCATCAGATTATTCCACTCACCACCCCACCTTGGAGTCACCCACCACCCTAGCCAGGATCACTCCCTGTCATTCATGAAGAATTTAGCCTTTGTCACACTGTCACTCTTTCTAATACTACTCCTGTCATAATCCTTGGGAATTTTATTGTCCACATAGACAATCCTTTCAAAAACCTAGCCTCTCATGCCTTGGCCTTCTTTATTCCAGTCATCTTCCTTCAATCATATCTTAACCACTAACTCCACACCTTGTAATTGCCAATTACTGCAATCCCCTCCTAAATCTCCATATCTAGCCTCCTGCCCCACACAAACACACAACTCCAGCTCACTCTGTTTAGCACACAACTCTAACCCAGCAGGACCTACAATCCATAGGTCTTCCTCCTCTGATCTTCTCTTTCCTCCTTAATTAGGAGGAAATTTCCTGGTCAATCTTTGTAATACATAATTCCCCTGCCCTATCTTTTAGGTTAAAAAATACAATCCAGGTTAAGTCAGTGCTCTGCCTGTTCTATACTTAGAGCTGCAAAAGGAAACATAGCCAGGGAGAGTGGGAGGGAAGCCAAAGCAAGCTAGCATCACCATGCTAATGGTATCACTTTAAATTGCTGATATTAACTATTATTGCTGACTAAAAACCACTCTTTATTTGCAGGCCTTGGAAATAACTCTCTCAACTCTTCTCTCAAACTAGCTGATGATTTTGTGTCTTTTTCACTGAGAACAAAGAACCAATTAAAAAACAAACTAAAAAACTTTTATAAACTCTTAGCACCATGTTTACCCACTTGGCTAAATGATGTTCATATTTTCTCATCCCTCTGATTACCAGAGATGAAGCTTCTGTGCTCCCACCTAAGAACAACCCCTTCCCTTGTTGGCTAGATTCCATCCCCTCTTGCCTACTCGAAAACTTTACTCCAGCAATTCTCCCCTTTTTCCTACGTGAGGCATTTCCCTTTTTCTACTGGATCTTTCTCGTTAACATACAAATATGCTTTTAAAAAAATTCTTCTCCTAACCCCATATATTCTTCCAGCCAGTGCCCCATTTTTGTCCTTCCCAATAGCAAAACTACTCTAAGGAGTCTCCGTGTTCAGTCTTCAATTGCTCTCTACCTATTCTGTTTTATACCCCTCCTATTGGGCATACAGAAACTGCTTGTGAAGGTCACCAGTAACTTCCACATTGCTAAGCATAATGGCCACTTGCCACTTCTGATCTTAATCAACCTTTCAGCATCATTTAACATAATTGTTCCTGCTTTCTTCCTTAAAACTCTATTTTTACCTTGCTTACTGGGCACTTCTACGACATTCAGTCTCCTTTACTGGTTCCTCCTTACTGTACTGATCCATAAATGTTGAAGTATCTAACAGGTTCAGTCTTCTCTTTTCCATCTAGACTACTCAGTAATCTCTTCTGGTCTCACAGCTTTATTTCTCACATTTACGTTCCTAATCTGTACTCCCAACATAAAATGCAGTCTAGTAATATCCAACTACCATACTGATATCTCTACTTGAATATCTATTGGGTATTTCGCAAGGATGATGTCAAAAAGTGAATTCCAGGAGCTTCCTCTCCAGACTATCTATTCCCAGTCTTCTGAAGCTCAGATGCTATCAATTTCACCTTTCAAGTAGCTCAGGCCCAAACCCCAGAACCACCCTTGTCTCATTATTTCTCAATCTATATCCAATAGATCAGCAAACTCAGTTAGCTTTACTTTCCAAACACTGCTAAAATTCAAATTTGTTGCCACCTCCATTGCCGTCACCCTGGTCCAAGCCACCCAGCATCATCTCTTGCTTGATTTATTGCAATAACTTCCTATTTTTCTCCCTTACTCTATCTTTGCTCCTTCCAGTCTAAGCTAGTCAACATTATCTATTGAATACTGGAAACTACTATTCCAGGTACAGGAGGACTAAACGGAAATCAAAAAGAAATAGCTAACACTTTCAGAGCACCTACTATACTCCGGGAACCATTTTAATTATTCAAATTCATTTGATTCTCACAATAACACTAAGGTAGGCACAATTTATTTTCCCCAACTTAATCACTAGGAAACTGAAGTTAAGTAACTTGTCCAAGTGCTCACTACAAGTAATCAGTTTGGCAGGACGTCTAACTTAGAGAGTCCTTGTTCAACCTCCCTCTATATTATGCTGCCCATTTAAAGAAAAACAGCATAATCGTAAAGATGCTTTAGATTTATTTTTAAATATTAAGAATGTAGTCAGAAAATACACTATTTTAAGTACTTCAACATACATGAGTGCAGAGGTACAACAAAGAATAAGGCAAAAGTTAAAGAATACCTGGTATTCCAATGGCTCTTACATATGAGAATACAATATTTGCTTTTCCTTTCAGAGCATTTTCTATGTTTTGAAGGTCTTCCAGGTTGGTAATATATTTCACTTCATTAAAAAGAAGAGCACTGAAATAAATACAGATATAATTAGTAGAAAAATCTGATATTTAGTTGCACCACACTTCTTTTAACAACCTAACCAAAACAGAAACAGATCTCCATTGAACAAATTATTAGTAGCAATAACGTAAGCATTTTAATAATACTAGATTAGAATCACTCTCCAGATCTTTACTCCATCTCTGAGAACATCAACCAAGGACAGTTGTTAGAAATGGTATTCTCTATGACAACGGTCTCGACAGATTAAAACTGCATTCGCTAACATCCTAGTCTGGCCAAATAATCCCACACAGATCTCTCAGCCTTGAACACATTTAAGCCCTTCACATACCTAAACGGCAGGCTTCTTTGCATGGCCTATAAGGTCCTACATGACCTAGACCTTATATACCTCTCCAACTTCATTTTGTTCTACCATTCCTCATGTTTAAAACATTCTAGGCAAACCTCAAAGCCTCTGCACACATTCTTCTTTGCTGGAAACTATTCCTTTTGCTCCATTTCATAAATATGATCTCAGATTAAACATCGTTGCCTCAGAGAAGTCTTCTCTGTTGGTCCTGTGTAAGTAAGCCTATAGCATTTTCCTCTCATTTCACTAGTTGATTCCTTACAGTACTTATTACAATTTATAATTATCTATATATTTATTTTCTTGTTTATCCCCACCTTTTTCATTAAACCCTCATGCCCTTGAGGCAAGGATCTTGTATATTTTATCACTATATCTGTAAAAACTTATAATAGTGCCTAGTGCACTGTAGATATTCAATAAATATTTGTTGAATGGATGAAAGAGAAAGAGGGCAGGAATTATTTACTCCCATTCTTTATTTGAAGAAATGGAAGTTCAAAACACTTAAAAGCTTACTCAAAAATGCATTTATTGAATGAAGAAGCTAGGGATAGAATACAAAACAGGTGTTCTCAATCCTAGTCCACTGATCTTTCCACTGGACCATAGTTCTTCTGAATCATCCTTTCAATGTATAAATCAGAGTGACTGATCTTATTTCTTCAACCAAAATTATCCATTTTTAAAAGTTGTCTACTTCTGTATAAATTCTCTATTCCTAACAACTCATTCCACTTAATCCCCATGTGCATAAGTGTACTTTTTTGATAGGCTATACTTTAAAACTTTTTGAAAATGTTTTAAAATTTTCATGTTGCAGATCCACATACTTAAATAAACAAAGGTTCACTCAAATACTTCCAATAAATTAGTCAAACAAAGTTTCCTCTTATAAAGTTTTTCCTAATACAGTAGTTCTCAAACTTTTTGGTCTCAGAAAACTTATATCCTTTAAAATTATTGTGTTCCTCAAGGAGCTTTTGTTTATGTAAGTTATTTTTACCCATAGTTGTCAAAATAGAAATTAAAACAAAAATTTAAAAATATTTATTAACTCTTTTAAAAATAAACACCATTACATGTTAACATAAAAACTTTCTTACAAAAAACAACTAAAATTTCCAAAATCAAAGGAACACTTAGTGCAAGAATGGTGTTGTTTTATATTTTTGCAAATATCTTTAACATCGGACTAAACAGAAGACAGCTGGATTTTCATTTCTGCTCCTTTATGCAATCTGTTGTGACATCACACATCATGTAGCCTCTAGAAACCCCATTCATGAAAGAATGAAAAAGTCAAATAATGCCTTAGTATTACTATAAAAATATTTCCACTTAGTGGGCACCCTGAAAGCACTGCCCTAAATTACACTGGCTTAAATATTTACCCATTCATTACACATTTCTTCCACTTTTTAAAAGAAATATAAAACTTGATCTTCTATCATTCCCAGGGCTGTTTTGTTTTTATAAGAAATATGTACTGGGCAGTATTCATTATGTGCTAGATATTTTCCAGTTTTCATTTAATCCCTCAACAATACTTGCACAACATTATTACACACATATTCACACACAGGCAACAATCTGAGAGACTAAGTAACCTGCCCCGTCTCATACGTCTAATTGCTGGTAGAGTGTCTGACATCAAGGTCAGGATTTTCTAAATTATATTACTGACCACTAATAAAAACGGGAAACCAGGTGGAAAGGTAGCAACTAAAGAATGGCAATGGAGTCTCAGTGGCAAGCTGGGCTATTAGCCGCCTATACATTTTGGCTAGTCAGTCCAGAACCACCCTTCAGTTACTTCAAAATAGTTGAGAGGTACAATCTAGTAAGCTTAATTGGACTACCATATAAATTCTAGGCTTGGAAATTACATTCACCTAGCCATGACTTTTATTGTTTTACTATCTCCAATCCATTTGCTTCAAAAATTAAGTCTGAGTGTACAACCCTCCCCAACCATTGTTTGCAATAAAGACTGGCAAATATTTATTAGGTACTTACCACATGCCAGGCATAGTACTAAGCACTTTATAAATAGTGGCAATTTATCAATCTGGGGAGATGTCAACTCCCTTTTGCTTTGTCCAGTTTTCTACGTCTTCACAGTAGGCAGAGCCCAAGTGAAAGCTGATACTATCATAACCTTGCTTTCCCAGGCTCCCTGTTACAAAGCATGACTATTTGACAACGAATCACTTGCCTGAGATTCTGAAGCAGGAGCAAGTGACACCAACAACAAGCAACAGTTAAGAATTATTTCAAGAAGCAGTGGCAATAACAGCTGGCTTCAAAGGTAGCAATGACAAGTGTTAGTCACAGCCCCAGTGCAAGGGATGCAAGCTGTAGCATCCAATGCTCAGCAATAACGCAGCTGTCCTCCTCAAACTCATTCTGTGTCATAATTTTCACTGTAATGCAGAACTGTCTAACCTTTGAGTCCAGTTCTCCAGCCCTTCTAAGCAAGGTTGAGATTTCCTATATCCACTCCAAATCCTTTTCTGCTTAAACCAGTCAGACCCAGATTCTACGGCTTATAACTAAAAACCCTGAGCAATGCACTCTGTCTTGTTTAATTTTCATGGCAACCATCTGAAAGCAGTACTATCATTAACCCCATTTTAAAGATAAGGTCATGGGGCTTAAAGAGGTTACCCCGCCTAATGTCCCAAAGCTCATTAAGCAGTCATTATCCATGACATAATAATAACCAAAACTAATGACATTCATAATTTAATGATCTCTATGATTTTTCCCAATGGCTTTCTCACTTTAATATATCCCTTAATATGTTAATTTTCAGAATAGGAGGATCCATTCCACAGCCTGTGCTCCTTTACTCCATTTCCAAAGAGGAGAAATACTGACAAAAATGGGTTAAAGGAAAAGTCTCTCTTGAGATTTTCTTGCTCTGTTGAGGGGGTAAAACAGCCTGGGGCTGCTCTAACTACAGTTCTTCCTGTATAGGCCTTCCTTTTCTTTGGCATGCTTTTCCTGAGATTTCCCTGCAATAACTACTAGGTAGGTAAGACATTTGGCCAAGAATTGAGTGGGTGTCAGAAAGAAAAACAACAAAGAGTCTATCTGACCCTACTTCTAGAGCAGCAGGCAACTCAATATTTTTTGAGATAGAGACAATTTTTGTATTACATTTCTGTCATCATTTGAACTCTCAGAACCCAATAAAAAGGAAAATGTAAATGTTTTAGCATACCAAAATCCCCAGAAAAAAAAAAAGAAAGAGAGAAAGAAATTACTTTTATCCAAATTAATAACCATATACTATGTCTGGGCAGATTCACATACAAAAAGAAATATCCCAAAGTCTTTTATTAAGTATTTTCTAAATTAACACAGATTAAAAACAAACCAACAGGTAGAAGCCACCTCTTAAGAGTAAAATAATAAAGTTGGAAAATATCAGTCTTAGTCTTGTGTCATAAATTATATCTTCTCCTATTAGCTTGCTTCTTATAAAACTATAATTACCAGAAACAATTTTATGAGCTTAAAACTTAAGAGGATTTCTGGTCTTCTCATTTTTAACAACCAAAAAGTGAAACTTCCAAATTCATCATCCACAAATCCAATATTTTAGCACCTAATATATGTCATGTACCACGTATGTACTGGTAGAAGCACTTTGTCTAAAAATTCACAGTTTGGAGATATAATCATTAATACCAATTAACAGAGCTGTGAGGAATTCAAATCCAAGAAAAGCATTTTTTTCTTATACTTTCCCAGTAAAAAGTACATCATTTTCAAAGAGGAACCCACCTGATAATATCGTATAGAAACAAATCTGATATATACAAAAGAATGAACAATAGCATAGGCACAGTTTAGGAGTTTTAGAGGAAGGCACTTCTAAAAGTGACTTTCTCCAGAGGTTCTACGTAACAAGGCCTAAACACTCAATCCTTACACTCTGCAATAATATGTTAAAGAATAAAATATCAGTAGAAACTATGACAGTTAAAAATAATTCTTCTGATATTTTAAGTTCATATTATGAGTAGTATATTAAAGGAAAAGGAACTTCTATTTTCTGACAAAATACAGTATTGTCACAAGAAGAAGTACCATATCTTAATAAAGAGTTAATGAGATTTCACTTTCTTACTGGACTATCTTTTCTTTTTGCATCATTTGATGATTTTTTTTTTCTTTTGCAACTTTTAATTTTTTTTTTTTTTTTTTTTGGAAGGTCTTGCTCTGTCACACAGGATAAGTGGCAAAATCATAGTTCACTGCAGCCTCGAACTTCTGGGCTCAAGCCATTCTCCTGTCTCTCCCTCAGTCCAAGTAGCTTGGACAACAGGCATGCATCATCATACCTGGCTAATTTCTAAAATTTTTTTGTAGAGACTGGGGTCTCCTTATATTACCCAAGCTGGTTTTGATCTACTGGCCTCAAGTGATCCTCTTTCCTTAGCCTTCCAAAGTGCTGGGATTACAGTATGAGCCACCTCACCTGGCCTGAGGATTCTTAGGAGTCAACAATGAGTTCAGGTAAAAAAGAATGGGCTGGGTGCTATGTCTTGCTCCTGTGATCCCAGCACTTTGGGAGGTCAAGGTGGACGGATCACCTGAGGTCAGGAGTTTGAGACCAGCCTGGCCAAAATGGTGAAAT